AAAAAAAAAAAAAAAAAAAAAAAAAAAAAAAAAAAAAAAAAAAAAAAAAAAAAAAACCCCCGGGGGGGGGTGGGGAAGAAGATATAACAACTATACTTTCATGAAGTTGTTACAACAAGCAAACGGAAAGGACATTCTTGGGGGGGAGGGGAGAGAGGGAGGAGGGAGGGAGGTGTCGGTGATGGGCCATAATAATCATATACAGTGTATATTGACAAAATAAAAATTTAACAAAAAAAAAATCTATGGTTATTCTAATAATTCTCCTAAAGACAGGTTAATATTAATAGAGTAATATAATTAGTCTACTCATATTATGAATATTAACAATTAAAAGTGGAATTTAAAAAGCTGAATAAATTTGTATTGGTCAGTTGTTTCCTAGGAATGTACATATTCATATTTTAGAAAATTCTTCTCTAACACAGTTAAAATCTTGCTTTTGTTATTAACTATTACCTCTGTCATTTTTTTCCAACAGTTAATAGTTATCAAAAATTTATCTTGGAAAAGTTTGTATTGATAAGTTTTTATTGTTAACATAAGGGTCAAATTCTTCAAGTTTCTCAGGGGGCATAAATCTGTGGGATATATCAAGATATTGTCTTTAGAAATTAGGTAAATCTTCTCTATTGCAGAGGATATATTTATTTGTAAGTTGTAAGACTATTATCATATGTTTCCTTCTCCACAGATAAATTCTTTAGGAGGATTTCTCTTCTTTCCATCCTTAATCTATGTTTCTGAGTTCTCAGTAAATGGGAAGAGGAAACTAGTGCTCATGGTGAGTTCATGGTTTTCATTGTTCTCCTGCTCGCCTTGGTACCACCCTGGAGATTTCAAAGGATAACAGAAGATGAGACACCCAAAAACTGAAACAATGCCAAGGGAGAGAAATAATAAAGGGGGAAGGTAAATGGGCAGTTACCTTTTCACCACAGCTGGAGAAGAATTCTCAGTTTACTTAGGGATCAATATAAGCAATATCATTATATTTAGAGGTGAATAAGGGTGGATCCCTGAAGTTTTAACTTCATATTCACTGAGTACTAACAGACAAAAGTATATTATCCTTAGACATATCTGTGATTTGTTCTCATCTTTTATTTTTTATTTATTTTATTTATTTTCCTTTTTGTCTTTTTTGCTGACCGGCAACGGGATCGCGACCCTCGGTGTTGCGCCGGCACCGCGCTCAGCCAGTGAGCGGGAACCGGTCTCCACATGGGATCCGAACCCTGGGCGGGAGTGCTGCCGTGCTCCCAACCGGTGCACTCTCCAGTGCTCCACCGGGCCGGCTCTGTTCTCATCTTTTAAAAGATTGATAATAAATAGAGATAGAGGAGTAGACAAATGATAGATGATGGATAGATACATAAACAGAAATAGATGATGCTACTTTGGTGGGCCAGAGAGGAAATATTTGAAAGCATAGGGATTTCCCGACATCCACTGGTATTACTGAAGGTAAATATTTTCTATTGATAAGTTTGAGGTATAACAAGTTTTCACTTAGAATTCATGAAGTCTGTGTTGTGTTCTAGTTCTACTTTGGTTAATCTTTCTTACGTGATTCTGCACTGACTTTTTTCCCCAATTCATTTAGTTTACTAAGTAATTCCTAAATAGTTTCCTAAAGGAATTTCATTAATAATAGATTTTAATTAATGAAAATTATGTTCCTGGTTTTGTATCCCAATCATCATGTCAAGATGCTTATTATATAGCCTTCTATATAGCTTCTCTCCTAAAGGTTGTCATTGTCCCACCATGTATTTTAGGGGGAAAAGCTAGAAGTTTAATTATGTAGTTTTGGTTTGTATTTTTGTAGTTTTTGTTTTCTGTTTTGGGTTCTTGGTTTGGTTTGGTTTGGTTTGCTGGCTGGTACAGGGATTGAACGCTTGCAATTGATGTTATCAGCACCACACTCAAACCAACTGAGCAAACCAGCCAGCTCCTTTAATGATATTTTATAGAAGAGGTTCAAGTGAGGCTTGAAGCAATCATTATACATAGTATGGAGAACTATTATGTTGCATCATGTCATTTGTACTGGATTTTAATATCAATTCATCATCATCTTTTTAAATAGATGACCTAAATTTTAGTTATTTCATTTAATTGTCCCTGTTGGTGCCCAGCACAAATCCTTTCTATTGGAATAGTGGAATGAAGCTAGTTTCCAGGTGATACCACAATCTTATTTTAGGCTCTCGCCTTGTCCTGCTTTCCTCGCTCCCTTCTTGTGAGAGCACCCTGTCAATAAATCATTCGCATAACAGTCCTATTTCAGACTCTGCTTCTTGAAAAGCCAATCTTAGGCATTTAGTTTCTTTTTAGGATATAATACCATATGTATTTAGTCCAGACTTCTCTTCCCAATTGTACTTTTCATTTTAAGATATAGGTGCTAAATTTCAATGAGAACACCAAATTCTAAAAATAAAGTATCCTTTCTCATCCCATTAATTGATAATTTATTCTCTCTAGGTTATTTTTAGAGGACACACTGATAAAATGAATAAAGAAAATCAGTCTGGAGTGTCAGAATTTGTGCTTCTGGGACTCTGCCACTCGTGGAATATACAGGTCTTACTCTTTGTGACATTTTTAATGCTTTACCTGACCATTATATCTGGAAATACTGTTATTGTGATCCTAATCATCACTGACCTTCATCTCCATTCCCCCATATACTTTTTATTGGCTAACCTTTCCTTTGTTGATATGTGGCTTTCCTCAGTCACCACTCGTAAGATGATCACAGACTTTCTGAGGGAAAACAAAACCATCTCCTTTGGAGGCTGCATGTGCCAGATCCTCTTTGCCCATTTCATTGCAGCCAGTGAGATGGTGCTACTTGTGATAATGGCCTATGATCGCTATGTGGCCATCTGCAAACCACTCCACTGCTCAACCATTATGAGTCTTCAGAAGTGCATTGGGCTGGTAGTGACTTCCTGGGCAATTGGCTTTGCGCATGCCATGAGTCAAATGGTTGTGATTGTGCAGCTGCCTTTCTGTGGCCCCAGGGAAAGAGACAGCTTCTTCTGTGATATACCAGTGGTCATCAAGCTTGCCTGCATGGACTCCTATAATTTGGAAATTTTAATGAACATTGACAGTGGTATGGTAGCTGTAACATGCTTTATTCTGCTGCTGATATCCTACACATATATTCTCCTCACTGTCCACCAAAGCTCTAAAACTGGGACATCTAAGGCGCTCTCCACCTGTACTGCCCACATCACGGTAGTGGTGCTCTTCTTTGGGCCGTGCATCTTCATCTATGTGTGGCCAGTCACCATCACCTGGGTGGACAAGTTTCTTGCAGTGTTTTACTCGGTTATTACACCTCTCCTAAATCCAGCTATTTATACCCTGAGAAATCAAGAGATGAAAAACGCTATGAAGAGATTCAGAAGCTATTACATGGATTCTAAGGTTAATATTTAATGCCAAAAATTTGTGAGCACTTCAAATTGACAATACATAGACCTTGTAAAATAGGTTATACATTTAGGGCATTTAGTCCATATCGATTTGTTATTCCTCTTCCAGAAGCAAGAATAGGGTTAATATAATTCCTGACATTTCAGCATCTATTTATCAGCCAGCTGGGCACTTATGGATTATTTCCTTAAAATTCAAACACTAACGATTTCTCTTTATGTTTATAATTATCCAATCAGGTTTTCTGTACCTTTAACTGTGTTAAATGAGAGCCTAAAATTTGTGTAAGACGGCCACACATCTATCCGTGATGATACCATCTTAGTGAACTTCTCTTGAGTTTTCTCCTAACTCCATTTGGATAAAATTGTTTTTATAATATTGACATGAAGCCTCAAAACATTCACTTACCTTTTGTTAAAAGGCAACTGAATTATCATTTTTTCCTTGATGTAAATTCCTACCCGTATATTAATGGGAAAAAGCAGAGGAAAAATAAAGAGAGGAAGAAATGAAAGTGATAAGCCATATAGGGATGAACAGTGGAGGTTACACTATTCTCGGTTTTCATAAAAACAACAGAAGTAAAAATATATGAGAACTTATTGATATGTCCCTTGGTTACCTCAGTTCAAGGACTAAACTTTATTTGTTAAATCATTATTAACTATTTGTGAAAAATTCTAAAATGTAATCTCCCTGAAGGTAGGACCATGCCTTGCCTGGTTAATTCTTAAAACTCCAATACTTAGTACAGTGGTTAATATGTAACAGACACTCAACAATTATATTTTGATTAATAAATATAGTTAATTGTTCTATTAAAACGCCCATAAAATTATTGGCCTAGGTACATTCAAGTATACTCTTTTGGCATATTTTGAAATATATTTCTAAAAACTTCAAACCATAAATAATACTTATTTTATTTCTTCCAAAATTATAAATTAAGCAGATTGAAACTGCGTGATAAGAATCAACAATAAAAGTCCTGACACAAAAAGATATATGCAGCTTTTATTTCTCTTGATATGGGAACATATTAATAAGGGCATAATAAAAATAATACAGTTATCATCCTTGACTGCCTTCTATGACATCATGTCATCATGTCATATGCATTACTTTAAATTCTTTCATTATTATCATGAAATTGTGAATGAGTAAACAAGACAGAAAGATGAACTAAATTTTCTCAAACACCTTTATTGTTTCTTTACTTAAAGGATTCAGAGATCAATTTGATTTCCAAGAGTGTTCATTTGTTAAGTGATACTGTACAATGAGATTAAAAATTTATTTCTGACACAGTGAAAGAGTAACTCATGCCAAGAATAAAATACCACAACATCTTTATTAATCTAAGAAAATAATACATAAATGTCGGAAATGCCAAAAGTTACAATCTAGTTTGATCATGCAGTACAAACTGTGAACATTTGTGATCATGCAGTCTAAATGGTAAACATAAGCATATGGCTGCATATAGATAGTGTTAAAGGAATAGCAGTCAACTAGCTGGTTGTCTCTGTCGTCAGCTGTAGCCTTAATTCATCCTCATGAATACACCAATTCAACCACTGTATTTTAATCACTGCATGTTTTGAATAACTTTTTCCTACCCAGAGTGTTGAATATCTTTATATGTCTATATGTCCTTACAAGGTAAACCTGAGTTTTAAGTACTGTTTGTTTGGATATTTCACAAATATTCTGAAGGAATGTAAAACATAGCTTGTATTGTCTTGTAGAATATTCTGAAGGAATGTAAAACACAGCTTGTATTGTCTTGTATTATACCCTGTCCCAAAAATATTCAAGGAGTACATGCTCTCAATTCTGCCATGCTATCCAAGCTTAGTATTTATCTATTAATCAAACAGGCAAATTCTCCTTAATTCCCACTGCTTTCTATTAGAATCATATTCACAGATATTAATCTAAAAGAATTGTAGATATGGACTTTTCCCTGGACAAAAGTCAATAGCCAGTCTTAATTTACAACTTAATAAAAATACTGTTGTCTACTCTATTGGAAGCTCTCCTTCCTTAGGAACGAAGACCTCTCACCTAGCAAAGCTCTAAATTGTGGGGATGGGAAGGAAACATTTTGTAACTAGATAATTAGTTATAACAGTTAGAAGTGCTACTTCCACACTACAATCTTCATTTCTAAATCCAGGGAATGAAGATTCTGTCTCCTGCAAGAGCCACAAAGGAGACTTCAGTATACTATTCCACCACTTTATTAGACCAGCTATTTATGAATGATCACGTATGTATTAAGAGAAATTAATTCTACTGTCATGAGAGCATTGCTTCACTTGTTTTATTGTAAAATAAATTCCTTGATTAAAAGCAATTTTGTACAGAATACCATGACGGTGAGTAATGCATCACTTAAATGTAAGGATCACAATGCAAGCTGAATTATGACGGTAGGAAAGAAAATCATATTCAGATTATATGTTCACTCCAATGACACAAAATTCTACTTCCTCCATGATGGAAGATTCCCAATATAATCAACCTGTCACTATGTGGTCGATGGATCTCTACAGTATACTCAGCCATATTAGTGGCTCAGACAGAATTGAAGAGGCTTGCCAGTACTAATAACCAGATCATACTTTGTGAGGAAATCCATGTTGTTTAGCAACATAAGACCACCTCTGATCATTCTGTGTAGGGATGTATTGGACAAACACTGAGGTGGTTGAAAAAAGAGGCTAACATACATAGAACTTGTAATATGTCTACCTGATTACTAAATCTTCCTCTGTAGTGGATTTCGTCTGGTGCCCATTCAAATGGGAAACCTATATTTTGATTGTTTGTGCCCATTCTGAGATGTGTATGTGAATTCTTGCCCAGGCTTCTTTGCAACCAATCTTCACATTTAATTTGTTCAAAACCCTGACCATCTAGCCAAACCATTAAGAACTGTTCAGGAACCAATAAAGATTCATGTTTTTAGCCAAACAAAGCGAACAATCAAATGCATCATTTGTATTTCTTCCCAATGGGAGAATTTCTCCTCATCATTGACCTTCAGGATCACAATCATAATACTAACCATAATTAATACTTGACCATAACACTTCACTTAATTGGTGCAGTAAATCTTCCACTTCCAGTTGCTTCTAATTACTGCTCCTAATTTGCTATTGTGCAAAACCATCTGCATATGCAGACCTAAGTTTTTAATTATCAGTCCTCTGGTTTAAAGGAATTCCCACATAGTCATAGGTACGCATTGAGGGGTAGAAGGCAATCCACCAGTGGTAGTTGTTGAAGGAGTTGTGCCATAAATTAATGCAACTTCTCAGTCTTTGGACCTGCTAAGCTTGATCTGTTATGCACCATATTAACATGAAAATAAATGATTTTTTTTTTGCATCTCAATTTTATGGCTTGAAGAATGAGATGGTATCTAGTTCATGATGGGTAGCTTATGTCACACAATCACTTGATGCACAAGTTAGGTATTGAGTGTGCCAGAGCCCAGGAGGATGCTGACTATTGGATCTCCGAAAACTTATTGAGGTGGTTTATTGTCCACCATCTAGTTCAGATGAGTCTAAGGCCTCCAAAATACTTGCTTTTTCTTGATCATTGGGTCCAATTTTTATACCACATCAGTGTAGTGGATTGGTATGATGTTTTATAAAATGTCAAGGTGATCAATATTTCTGCAGAATATATTATGACAAATGGGTGAGTTTTAAGTTATGTTTAACTGTACATCAATATAGATTATATATACAAATATATAATCTTTTAAATATTTTAAGTATGTTAATTGTTCAAGTAAGAGATGTATACCCTCAAGTAACGAAATGCAAGTATACGGATACCTCTACAAGAAAATCATAAAACATTTTACCTTAAAACCAAAGGCAAACAAGGACACCACAAGAAAATAAGAATACAGGCCACTATCCCTGATGAAATAGATGCAAAAATTCTCAGCGAAATACTATCAAACAGAATTTGACAGCATATTAAAAGGATCATTTACCATGGTCAAGTGGCATTTATTCCAGGGATTCAAGGATGATTTAACATGAAAATCTATAGTTGTGATGCACACATTAATAGAATAAGTACAAAAATTATATGAATATCTCAATAGATGAAGAAAAAGAATTCGAAAAAATTAAATATTGTAATATTAAAAAAAAAAACCACGTTTTTTTTCTTTATTAAGAATATTCATGAGATACAAAGCTAATTGTCACCCCCGGTGCCCATGATTTGAGGGCCAGATTCATATTGGAGGCATACCCATTACCAGAAATTACTTTTGTACCCTGTGTCCCCACCTAATTATCCCCCAACCTCCCTATTCCTTCCCCTCTCTGCCCCCACTATGCTTTGTAGCCCTAAGAATGTTCCTTCCCTCTGTAAGACCACTGTACTGCTGTGGTCTTTTTCCTTCCTTCCTTTCTCTCTTAGCTCCCACATATGAGTGAGCGCATGTGGTATTTATCCCTCAGTGCTTTGCTTATTTCACTCAACATAAGTTTCTCCAGGTTCATCCATGTTCTTGCAAATGGGAGTATTTCATTCTTTTTAATGGCAGAATAGTATTCCGTAGTGTATATATACCACAGTTTCCTTATCCAATCATCCACTGATGGACATTTAAGTTGGTTCCATATCTTGGCTATTGTAAACAGAGCAGCGATAAACATGGGAGTGCAGGTATCTCTTCGACATGATGATTTCCACTCCTCTGGGTGTATACCCAGAAGTGGGATTGCTGGATCATATGAAAGATCTATCTGTAGTTGTCTGAGAAAACTCCATACTGTTTTCTATAGTGGCTGTACTAATTTACAGTCCCATCAACAGTGCAGGAGTGTTCCCTTCTCTCCACACCCTCACCAGCATTTGTTATTCACCATCTTTTTCATTATAGCCAGTCTAACTGGAGTGAGGTGGTATCTCAAGTGGCTTTAATTTGTATTTCCCTCATGACTAGTGATGTTGAACATTTT